TACGACTAATTGAAAGCGTGCTAATGTGGACTTTGAAAGTTAAATACTGATATAATGTATCTATGAAAGAAACTAAAATGTCTACGTATGTATTCAGTCGCGTGAAAATCTTCTCTTCCGATCACGAATGACTAATCAGATAAGATGTTTCCATGTATTTCAATTTCAATTTTTACGATTGAAAATTTAATACACCTGTGTATTAAATGGGGAAGGGAATTTCTTTAGATTAATAAAAATTATACAGCCAAGATCGAGTCTTTTTCACTATGGCGCTACATCACAACATGTTTTTATTACGACAATTTGATGTTAAAATAAGAGGAAGGCTTCTTTTTGTTTTTAAAGAAAACTTCAGACAAAACCACGCCTATAACACTACAATGAAGAGGACGGAGATATATCGAGTGCAAAAAACTAAAAGTGTGGCTATAAATTCTTATATCATAAAGGGTTGATGCCTCAAATGAAATACCATCACGAATTAAAGCATTTTCCATTAGATAAAATTTAATAAAAATTGGTTTGTCTTTCATCCAATATCTGTGAACCCAAGATTAAGAGAAAGATCAAAGGATTTAAATCCCATGACAAGGTGTAAACATTGGTCGACATGTTTATCGAAACACTAGGTTATTAATGAATATAAATATGTCTAAAATTCAATGATATAGTGTAAGTCATAATGTGATTGGTAAGGTTGTGGTGGTCGAATTTTAAGTAAGCCACGATCAATTTATATATATATATATATATATATATATATACGATTATTGTTTTGCAACTTCAGTACTATCTATTATAATAAGAGAGCACACGCTGAAATGTCTCGCCTATTTAACATATCATGATTAAACTTATACTGAAAGTAATAATATGGATGTTTTACTACAAGTAGCACAAACTTAAAACTACCAATAACCCATGTAAATGAGGTCAAGGTCATATGAACCCTACCAGACAGACACGTAACATTTATAGATAGTCTATTGCTTATAGTATCTGAGATATAGAAAAAAAAAGAAAATTAACATTGACCAATGAATCATGAAAATGAGGTCAAGGTCATATGAACCTGCCAGATAGATATAAACGTAACAAATATTTCATACACTAAATATAGTGTCCCCATTGTTTATAGTATCTGCGAAATAGACCAAACCACAAACTTAACATTGTCCGATAAACCATGAAAAGAGGTCAAGGTCAGGTGACATATGCCATACAGACATGCATACCTTATAATCGAACGGACCGAAACCGAAACGACCGAAACCTAACATTGACAAATGAACCCTGAAAATGAGGTCAAGGTTATATGAAATCTGCTAGTCGGACATTCCATACACCCAGGGGCGGATCCAGGATTTTAGGTTAGGGGCGCCAACTTAAACATTCGCGGAGCGGAGCGAGGCGAAAATTTTTTTGAGGTAAAATTATCGAAATATTCTTCTAGAGCCTCTTCAGATACTTTATTAAGCTGAGGACAACCCATGCTTTTGCAAATTTTAGGGGGGGCGCACGTCCGCCACGCCCCCGCCTGAATCCGCCCGACACCAAATATAGTTAACTTATGGCTTATAGTATCTGAGATACGAACTTGACCACGAAAACTTAACCTTGGTCACTGATCACTGATTTTTAAGCTGTCACTGGACCATGAAAATGAGGTCAAAGGCATATGACAGACGGAAACTTCGTAACATAAGGTATCTGCATATAAGGTATGAAGCAGCCAGGTCTTCTACCTTCTGAAATATGAAGTTTTATACAAAATGTTTATAACAAAAAGATAAATGTTCCCCGAAATGATTACCATATGCCGGATAAGGATAGACGGTCAAATAATGGATATACATCGTGGTAAACTCTAAAGATACTAGACAATTTGTTAATGAAGTCATTCATCTAACATCAATATAAACTCAATAATATACCCCCAAATCCTTATTTTTCGTAAGTATGTTGTGTACAAAATAAACTATTTACTCTTTTCGACGTCTGAGTACTCATATCGAGTGTAATATTAAATCCTGTTTATAAATGGGGGACAAAATTGTCCAATGTACATGAAAGTGTCACGTGTCCATTAAACTTTTTTCGGGGGGGAGGGTGGAAAAAGGGGGGGGTAAAAATATAATTCATCAGTATCTAATGCATACTGATGATTAGTCTTGGAGACCACTTAGTGGTCACTTAGCTGCAATATGCCACTTGTTCACTTAATTACGCGCAGCCATTTTTTGTTCAGGTAACTTTGTTTAACATTTATAATGAATCAGGATATTCATATTGACAAGCACATGAACGACAGTGATAGTTTTTACCAGACCGTTGGACATTCAACTATGGAAATACAGCTGATTACCATGAAACATTCCATACTTGCACCTGCATCATTAAATAATAGCAAGCTATAAATACTCCTTTGCTACAATCGATTTTGATGAACTAAAGTCGTTGTTTTTAATTCATTCCTGTACAAATGCAAAATTACTGGACCATAATTGTGAAATTGACGGCTAATCCCAGATAAAAAGTGAAGTTATTGGATTTCAATTTAAATCACACAGATGATAATACTCCATCATTTCTGAAAGACATAGAAAGGCGTTAATTGATTTTGAAAGTTGCGTATATCTAGCATGAACAATACTGGAAGTGGACCGGGTTAATTTTAATCCTCGGAATTTAGTTTTGGATTATTCATCAATAAAATGGTGTTACTGTCAATAATGCTAGTATGGGGCATACGCAGATAAAAAGATGACGAATTTTGTACACAAACCAAAATTTATAAAAGACGTATAAGGTCTAATATAATATCGACAATTTTTTAATGTATGAAGCTTGGTCATAAATCATGCACGTTCTATATAATACACAACTATTATATCTATTATAAATATATCTAACTTTGGCAAAACCACTGCAAATAGTTGATACTAGAGTTAGACGCATGATATTTCACTCTTTTTATTCGTAATATTCATTTGCTTAACAAATAGTATGAAAAAAGTATAATTTGGTTTCGAAATAACTTTTAAAGAGCGTGGTTACCAGGTACATGTAGAAAAACCCTTGTTCTTTGGTTTAGTTTGTTAAGTATTTGTAGATTTTGTGTCGTGAATGAATGCACCGTATCCTTCTTTGCATTAAATTAATAAATTTACTGTTCTGAATAGTGTCAAGTACTTTATGAACTTTTATGTTGACACATTTCATAAAGAAATATATAGTTAGTAACAACGGTATGAAGAATTGATAAAAATCATCACACAGCGGTTTAGAATTTAAAAGTTTCAAAGTCCGTATATTTGATCAATTAAACAGGTTTTGAACTCGTTATTATGACAATAGCAAGATGTGATATGATTGCCAATGGGACAACTCTCCACCAGAGACCAAATGACATAGAAGTTAACAACTGTAGGTCACCGTTCTCTTCCGAATCTTAAGATTATACGTCTTACCATAAGAATTCCGTCTTTTCACTAAACCATTTAAATTATATTCCAATAAATTCAAATAAGTGTATAAGTACCTTGTATGGGTGATATTATCAATAAGTTTGGGGTTTTCATGTTGGGTTGGGATTGAAGAACTACATAAAATGTACAAAAATAACTTTATATAATCATTTATATAAAAAAGCTATGTCTGGTGCTAATTGTTAAAGAACTAAGTCTTATCAAAGTATTACACAACTTAGTTTGTCGCAGTTGATTAGGATGGTGTCCGTTGATCTTTCAACAGACGTATTTATTGCGTTTCGATGGATTTTTTTTTTTATTAAGAGTACAATATTCGAGTGGAAGACAAACAAATAAACATCTTACATGTAAATGGCACACCGGAATAGGAATAGTATACCTTGCTTGTATACATAACACAGCCAATAGCTTCCGTTTACACAAAATGCTGCATATATCTAACATGCACTAAAGAGTGCTACCATTTGATTGTTAAAGGACAAGGGGCCCTGGGGGAGTAAATGATCTACCTATGTCTTATTGCATCTATAAGACTACCTTTGCCATTAAATGGTGACCTATTTCTAATGGCCGAACAGCCATATGTATTAATTATGTATGTTTGTCTATACAAAAGTTATGATTTATGAAGGTTTAAAACAGAAAACTATAATAATATATCAATCAAAACTCTATTTCTCAGAGAACTTTATGAGTATATATGTGTAATAGTTCACTTTATGAGTATATATGTGTAATAGTTCACTTTATGAGTATATATGTGTAATAGTTCAACACTACACTATTGTTCGGCATAGTGCTATATTCAGCAACGTTATACATGTTAGGTTGTTTGTGCATCATTGTCAACAGTTAGAGTAAGTGTTATTATCACATCAATATCTCCCTGAAGTTAAACTGTGTCTTGTAGATATAGTGTTTATGTTTTAGCAATATCATGATATTTCGTTGTTTTAAAGGCGGGTTCATAGTTAAGTTAGATTCAGTTAAGGGATGTTAAGTGGTAAAATACCATGCTGAGCTGAGCAAGGTCCAAACAACTGGTAATTTATCATCAATTGTCCTTTTTAGAGCACAAAAAAAAAGGTTTTATAAACCTTTAACCCCTACAACCGCTCATTATCGATTCATATCCACCCTGCTTAATTTTTTACTCATCTTAACATTTGGATAATTTTTCACATATTCTAAGTTTGAATTTTTCAAGTCCCTGCTTGAATAAAACATGATTTATGAAATTTTGCACGCCTCCTTTTCATCTTAAAGAAATTTGAATTTCCTCCACAGTTTATGTATATATATATATCACACATCATTTATTCTATACATATTAGGTTGATATAGGGCTTAACAATATAATTATAAATACATATGTCTGTTGACAGACCTTTATAATATGTGTGTTTGTTTGGACGATTGATAAGGTAAACCTAGACATCTTCATCACACAAGAAAGAATACAAAATTTAAATTTAAACATTTAAGTGAATTTTGATAAATCCCTACCTGAAATTCCAGACCATAGTTTTCACGGAGATATTCTTTTAACTTTGGATACACATTTTCCATTAATGCATTTCTTTCCAGTGTCGTATCTGTAAAAGACGATTAGAATATATGTGTATTATTGTCAAATTATGATTTTATACATTGAGTCAAATCAGGTTTATCACACTAAAACTGCCACTTTTAAGGCAAATAAGTACATTCTGACACAACAAATACAGAAACAGACACCCCCCTTTAAATCGACCTGTAATGCTGCAATTTACCCGCAATGTTATCGAATAAGCATCATGTAAAAATGAATTATAATACTATAAATTTTAAATAAATATATGTGTAGCTTTAACACCACTGCCTTGTAGAGGGGAGTGGGTATATAGTAATGCACATGTCAGCCCGTTCATCCGTCACAAGTTTAGTTTCCGGGTGAATCCTGACCAAATCTTTTGTAATGTTAACACAAGACATGGACTATAAAATACAGGTCAAGTTTAATATTGATGGTTTTAACATGTTATGTCCCTTTCTTACCTGAAAAGTTGTGACTTCTTCGGATAATAATGATATATTAAATCTTTTGAAACTTAAACACAATGTCATAGACCATCAAATATAGGGTAAGTTCGATTTTCATGGTTTAGACATTTACCGTTCAATAGGTAAACCCCTATAATGTCATAGGCCTTAAAATACATGTTGAAGTCAATTTTTATCATTTAGAGATTTACTATTCAAGAGTTTATTTATTCCCTTTAGTAAACTCAAAACTTTTTTAAAACTTTTTAGATGATAATGAAAGTATTATTTTATTATTTTTTTAGATTTTAAAACAATGCTATAAAACATAAATTGCAGGTCACATTCAATTGGAATTTTATGTTTTGGTGTTCACCGTAAAATACTTTTTGTCTGCAAGCAGTGATCACTAGATCACTTAATTATATTTATCGACTGAAAATGCTTGCACGATTGATAAGTCAAACACATTATCGCTTTGAAAAATTTCGTCAAATTTCAGAACAATAATTCAAAATCTTTGCATGCATTACGTTCATTATTTTTGATAAAGCAATTTCATATAATTGATTGTATTATTTCTTTTTTCTAAAAAAAAAACGAAATGCCGGTAATACAAATATTTTTCTTTTGAAATAGATTCAAACATATTATTGTTAAATTATGAATTTATACATTGAGTCAAATCACGTTTATTACACAAAAACTGCCACTTTTAAGGCAAAAAAATACATTCTGACAAAACAAAGACACCACCCTTTAAATCGACCTGTAATGCTGCAATTTACCCGCAATGTTATCGAATAAGCATCATGTAAAAATAAATTATAATACTATAAAGTTTAAATAAATATATTTGTAGCTTTAACACCACTGACTTGAAGAGGGGAGTGGGTATATAGTAATGCACATGTCAGCCCGTTCATCCGTCACAAGTTTAGTTTCCGGGTGAATCTCAAATAACCGCCTGACCAAATCTTTTGTAATGTTAACACAAGACATGGACTATAAAATACAGGTCAAGTTTAATATTGATGGTTTTAACATGTTATGTCCCTTTCTTACCTGAAAAGTTGTGACTTCTACGGATAATAATGATATATTAAATCTTTTGAAACTTAAACACAATGTCATAGACCATTAAATACAGGGTCAGTTCGATTTTCATGGTTTTGACATTTACCGTTCAATAGGTAAACCCCTATAATGTCATAGGCCTTAAAATACATGTTGAAGTCAATTTTTATCATTTAGAGATTTACTATTCAAGAGTTTATTTATTCCCTTTAGTAAACTCAAAACTTTTTAAAACTTTCTAGATGATAATGAAAGTATTATTTTATTATTTTTTTAGATTTTAAAACAATGCTATAAAACATAAATTGCAGGTCACATTCAATTGGAATTTTATGTTTTGGTGTTCAGACAAAAATACTTTTTGTCTGCAAGCAGTGATCACTAGATCACTTAATTATATTTATTGACTGAAAATGCTTGCACGATTGATAAGTAAAACACATTATCGCTTTGAAAAATTTCGTCAAATTTCAGAACAATAATTCAAAATCTTTGCATGCATTACGTTCATTATTTTTGATAAAGCAATTTCATATAATTGATTGAATTATTTCTTTTTTCTAAAAAAAAAAGAAATGCCGGTAATACAAATATTTTTCTTTTGAAATAGATTCAAACATATTATTGTTAAATTATGAATTTATACATTGAGTCAAATCACGTTTATTACACAAAAACTGCCACTTTTAAGGCAAAAAAATACATTCTGACAAAACAAAGACACCCCCCTTTAAATCGACCTGTAATGCTGCAATTTACCCGCAATGTTATCGAATAAGCATCATGTAAAAATAAATTATAATACTATAAAGTTTAAATAAATATATTTGTAGCTTTAACACCACTGACTTGAAGAGGGGAGTGGGTACATAGTAATGCACATGTCAGACCGTTCATCCGTCACAAGTTTAGTTTCCGGGTGAATCTCAAATAACCGCCTGACCAAATCTTTTGTAATGTTAACACAAGACATGGACTATAAAATACAGGTCAAGTTTAATATTGATGGTTTTAACATGTTATGTCCCTTTCTTACCTGAAAAGTTGTGACTTCTTCAGATAATAATGATATATTAAATCTTTTGAAACTTAAACACAATGTCATAGACCATTAAATACAGGGTCAGTTCGATTTTCATGGTTTTGACATTTACCGTTCAATAGGTAAACCCCTATAATGTCATAGGCCTTAAAATACATGTTGAAGTCAATTTTTATCATTTAGAGATTTACTTTTCAAGAGTTTATTTATTCCCTTTAGTAACCTCAAAACTTTTTAAAGCATTTTAGATGATAATGAAAGTATTATTTTATTATTTTTTTTAGATTTTAAAACAATGCTATAAAACATAAATTGCAGGTCACATTCAATTGGAACTTTATGTTTTGGTGTTCACCGTAAAATACTTTTTGTCTGCAAGCAGTGATCACTAGATCACTTAATTATATTTATTGACTAAAAATGCTTGCACGATTGATAAGTCGAGACACATTATCGCTTTGAAAAATTTCTTCAAATTTTAGAACAATAATTCAAAATCTTTGCATGCATTACGATCATTATTTTTGATAAAGCAATTTCATATAATTGATTGAATTATTTCTTTTTTCGGTTATACAAATATTTTTCTTTTGAAATAGATTCAAACAAACATAGTTGACATACAACTTCAAAACAAAGAAGTTAAAAAAGTCATTGTTTTCTTTCGATATTGAGAAAAGTAGCTATATAATGAGGAATATTTATATTTTGTAAATAGCTTTAACAGTGCATTAGTTTCTGCATTCTTTGATTTCTATGTTTAAGATATTTCTTTGTGTTTATCAATAATTGATGTTGTGATTTAGGTAGCATCGAACTTGCAATGTAATACTAATCATGTGAAACATAGAAAAGTCAAAGTTTAATATGAAAGAAAGTATTAACAGCATTTCTTATCACAATAATAAAAACCAAAGTGAATAGTTGGAAATAACTGTTTAACTGCGTTATTACAATAGTGAATCCATCTAGAAACTCAGATTTCAACTACTAGTATCAAAGATCTTAATGAAACAAATTATCAACTGTTAGAAAGAATGAAGAAGTTTTTAAGCAACATTCTTTAAATGAAGTCATATCTTGCATTTATTGTTATTTTCGATAATGCATCTACAGTTTGTGTATTATCCGCATGCAATTGACAACAATGTATACAATGTGCATGTGAAGTATTTCCTTATCTTTTATTTCGATGTCAAAAGAATAATTTGTAGTTTAACATTTTTTGTGTACTTATTGCTTGGCTATCAATCAATTATAAATCCAATTTTATATTTTTGTACGCTTGAGATTTATGGTCAGCGTAATGCAAACCATAAAATGTAGTTATTGATCAATGGATTTCGTGATGTTTCGACTTCATATGCAAGAAAAAATGTTCGTTTTCTGTGATATAGTTGTATTTTTTTATTCTAAATAAACCGTATACATAGATAGGTATAGGGAAGACATGTAATATAATTTTGGTCAAGATTACATGCATCTTTTCCGATAAAAATTTACCATGTTTGATTATACTTAATTTTTTTTGAATGTAATCTTCAATAGAAACTTAAAGTTTTTGAAAATCAGTAGGGATAGGACCATCAAAACACTATCAACGGCATATGAAAAAATATTGTATAGGGGGTATAACTAATAAAGGTAATTTTTGAGGATTTATTCATGTATAATCTTGGACTTTCCTTCGGACATTATTCAGTTTGTGAACGAGTCGGCTCAGTTTATAAATAAAACAAATGCAGGAACCCCAACTTTTGATGACAAGAACAGATAAATAACTCATGTGGAAAGTACAACAGGCCACACAACCACCAGCCTCCAATACCCCGACTCCTGCGAGAATCACACAAATAGTACAACAGACCACACATCCACCCAGATCCCGATACCCCGACTCCTGTGGAAAGTACAACATGCCACACAACCACCAACCCCCGATATCCCGACTCCTGCAAAAATAGACGAATAGTACAACAGGCCACACAACCACCAGCCCCCGATACCCCGACTCCTGCGAGAATTAGACATATAGTACAACATGCCACACAACCACCAGCCCCCTATACCCCGACTCCTGCGAGAATTAGACAAATAGTACAAAAGGCCACACAACCACCCAGCTCCCGATACCCCTACTCCTGTGAGATGTAGACAAATAGTACAACAGGCCACACAACCACCAACCCCTGATACCCCGACTCGTGTGAGATGTAGACAAATAGTACAACAAACCACACAACCACCAACACCCGATACCCCGACTCCTGCGGGAAATAGACTAATAGTACAACAGGCCACACAACCACCAGCCTCCGATACCGCGATTCCTATGGAAAGTACAACAGGCCACACAACCACCAACCCCCGATACCCCGACTCCTGCGAGAAATAGACTAATAGTACAACAGGCCACACAACCACCAACCCCCGATACCCCGTCTCCTGCGAGAAATAGACAAATTGTTCAAAAGGCCACACAACCACCAGCCCCCGATACCTCGACTTCTGCGAGAATTCTACAAAAAGTACAACAGGCCACACAACCACCAACCCCCGATACCTCGACTTCTGCGAGATTTAGACAAATAGTACAAAGAAAGACCAACAACAACGAACAACAAGTGATCCTCATACACTGACTTGGTACAGGCACAAATGTGCAGAACTCCTACATGTATGTAAAGGATAAAAAAAATCTAATATACTCCTTACCGACTGTAACTAACAATTAGTACAAGTAACCATGAATATATACTGTTCTATATTACTGTGGCCGATCAAAGTCATTTCATAGATCTGGATGAACGACACAATTGGTTTAAAGATACTAAAACATGTGTTTTCAATTACATTCGGACACCCAACACAATGAACAATTGAAATTATAAAAGTTCCGATATACATTGATAAAAAAACCAAACGATATAAACAATGGACATCAATCGAAATAAGGACATACAGTAGTGCAGGGAGTAACATTTCACTCTCTGATTATAATTTATCTATAAACATCGAACTATTCCATTTGTTATCATTGAAAATGGAATTGATTTTGTCTGCTTATTGTGTTGCCAATAATACTAAACATTAACTGCAGATGAAAATAATACGAGAATATTAGGTAACATCGCTGTCAGATGAAAGTTGTTAATGGCAACATGTCTTGTACAGATAGCTTAACAAAGGAATATTAAATATTTCACGGTTAATTAAAAATCACGATTATATAGCAATATAGCAGGCGCTTAGGTCTTCCTGTTAACGTTTTGTTCTATTGTGTTATGTGGCATGGTTATAATAAAAAAAAAGATATAATCAGAATTAAATGCGATGTTAAATAGATATTTAAAACTGCTAAGTCGAAGAAAAACCGACAACGCCATAGTAAAAAAAAACGACAAATAGACGAAAAATTCCTTAAAACACCACTAAGAAAACGAAAAACAGAGCAACACGAACCCCATCAGGCTTAATTAATTAATACGGCAATCTTTAATGTCACATAAACAAATTAAAAATGTTTTTTAATAGTAAGTATCAAATGCTGGTACTGAATTGTTGTAGAGTAACTGTGGTTTGCCCAACGTCCTATGGCAAACATTTTTATGCTATTTAATAAAGCAAACAACTTAACAATCTCATCAATTGGCAGCTGTTCAAGACTTTTTTAAACTGACTCTGTTAAAATATATCACAGACTGATTAGTCTTTTGTAGACGAAACGCCCGTTTGACGTACACAATTATAAACTTTATCTGACGACAGTCGTAGCGTTACGACAGTTTTATGAATACGGGGCCTGGTATCTTTGATGATGTTATTTTTACCATGAGCAAAAAATTTAGCCTTACAGCAGTTCATCCATACAGCCATTGCTTAAAATGATTTTTTGGCTCTATATCGTGCGGAGAGTGTTGCATTCTATCAAAAGCATATGCCGGCCTATACCTCATATTTATTGTCCCAAAACAGAAGGAACGTGATATACCGATTGATTGATTGTTGTTTGATTAACATCCACTTACAAAAAGTTCTTACAAATGCAGGGCAACAACAAATTTGAAAAATAAATCAATTGTGTAGGTTCTGCAAAGACGAGGATGAGGGATCGGAGTTTAAGGCTACCACAGGAGAAAGAGGGATTGAGGCCATGATTAAAGTTTTGTCTTGCAATGTGTCACTTACGGAGTATTCAAATGGTGTTCCAATGGTTATATTTAGAGACCGTTACGCTCCCGACATAGAGTTTCGGATTTAAAGTCCCCAATCTAACATAATATGTCTGCTTATTTATACAGCAAGCACAGCAAAACAGACGTCCTTAAACTATAGGGATAAATAGCTCACGACATCCTTTGGTCTCTTGTGGACAGTTATCTTATTGGCAATTATACAACATCTACTTATTTCTATATAAACACTAAAAACGTGAGGTCCAAGGAATTGGAATTTAAGCTCAACAGAGGAAAGGAATCCGCTCTTTGTTTGATATTATTTTTGTTTTCCATCTTCTAAATAAATTGCCTTGCTGGGCTACGAGTTTCGACTAATTAGCTGGCTTTATGCCCAAAGATTGGAAAATTCAACTAGCATATACATTTTTGTAGTTTCAATATAAAGTTGGAAAGGTATTCAAAAGATAATTTCTTAACCTCAAGCGCCCAATATTGATTTAAATGTGCAAACTTTGCAAGCTTAACCAGCATGTTAATGTTAATGTTTCATAATAGAGACTTTTTACTACACCATAAACTAATCATTGAAGAAATGTAAATTTGTGATTTAATATTTACCTTTTTCAAATTTACATACATTGTATACCTGAGTTGCATTCACTAAGCACCCATTCCGTAAAATATAATTGGTGTCCACTTTGGACTATTTGTGTCATATGGTCAAAATAGGAAGTTTGTGCGAGTTGGTCAAGGTATATTTTAGGTTGTGGATGAATTATCATTCGGTAAACAATTCAGTAGAAAGACAAAAAAATTACAAACGTTTTACGTGATCATTCTTATACATTAATATCTACTCGTTACTCTCTTTTGTACCTGGAATTGTTTCATTTTAGTATTATTATAAATGTATGTGAGTTTATTTCTCTCTTTCATATAATGAAAATACTAAATGAAAACATATTTTAGATTCAAACAATTAAATTATTCTTATTTGTTTTTTTTTTTTTATTTCATTTCATTCGAACTTCCATTAATATAGTATTTCAATTTCCAAAGTATTTAAATATTTATCGGGGGTGCTTACAAATATTGAATCCTGTATATAATATATATTTTCACGACTCATTTCCTCTATTCATTAGAATTTGAAATTAAAATTGCAATCGTTATTCTACATAAGTTGTAAAATACACTTGCACTATCATAGTTATTTTATTCGTTTGTGATTAATACACGCAACTATAAAATGTTCCCTTACAACAACCAAATTAAAATTGAAATTAATATTTAAATAGGGTGTACATCTATTGATATGAGGTATTCTTAAAGAACAGCAATATAAACGTTGTTCCTTTACTCTGTTGTACACAATACCATGCCATGGACAGCACTTAGGGGAAATTAACTTTAATATCCACAAAAGAAATATGGAGCTCATCTTATGTTTTCAAAATAATTGTGTGATGATTTGTTTACTTTATTACTTTCTATTTTCATTTAGTCTGGTTATCATTATGGAGTTTTAATCGTTCCTGACAATGATAATTTAAATTGTTTGTGATAAATTTGTAGTAAAAAGAAACTTGCGAAAGCATGAGAGGAACATAATGATTGCTCATTATTTCGCACAGACGTGTAAATGTCATGAAATAGAAGTTCCTTCATAATATAGATTCCAAGGGGAAGAAATATTCTGTATCATTATTTCCACTGGAACAAATATTATAGTATTTTTCCTTACGGAATAAAGGGTATAGATTATTTGTTTCATCAGGAACATATATTTTGACATTGTTTATCACAAAGTTTCCAGGGGAACTTCTGTTAGGCGGAACAAATATACGTTGACACATGAAATGAAAACAACGACCAACGGTTTTGCTTAGAATATATATTCACAAATGTGTTTTATAATCCTTACTTTTAATATGGAGTAACTACATGACGCTGTCAAGGATTGAACCCTCTTTTAAAAACAACACTAGTCGAACACATTTTACAAATAAAACCTCTAAGTGTGACTGAATTGTAAGTTAAGATTATGCAGGATTGTTTCGAATTTTGCATTTTTTGATCTGAAGAAAGTGAAATATATTGATTTCATTCATTGTACCTATTCACATGGTTTATGTATATAAATAGGATGGATAAATATACACATATGTCATGTGTGCCCAACTGTCACACGAGGTGCTTACCAACAAAGTAGCTTTCCAGAATTATTCTGTTGTGTGACATTTTATTTGGTATAATGTAGATCAAAAGTTCTAAAATAAGCTACGAAAATCAAGTTTTACTACGAAAAGATAAATTTTGAGAAGATGTTTGCACCAATCTTAGTATCGGAATATTGTTACAGTAATTTGATCAAATTTTATATAAGAGGATCTTATCGCGATAAAGACACAATGGATTTTTTTTATAATGTCAAGTGATCTTTACTCCTTACCTGTAAAAGTTGAACTTGTGAAAATACGAACAATTTTTGAACTTTGAGCCGGTAACTTTTCCAACGATCCAGACAAAACATGCTTTAACCTTTCCTGGTCTTCAGACGAAAAATCACCATTTTCCTGTCCAGCTTCAGGTACATGCCCATCTTGATTTGTATTTACATCCATATTAGTTGCAAGTTAGTTGTCACAAAAGTTATGTAATATCATTACAACAGAACATTTTGAAAAGTTCACTGGATCACTGATTTCTTTAGTTGAATTTATTCGTTCTACATCGCTTCACTCAATCACTTTTGGATAAAATATTACACGCGATATTTGACCTGCTAGGTACACCGTCTTATTAAATTTTCACCCGTTTGTTTACGGATTAAACTTAAAGGTATTATCAGTGAAAATATTAGAACAACATTTATCGTCAACCTTCGTTGCTACGCCATTTATTTGGACAATAAATACAAACATTTAACACGAGTTTGTTTTGTGTAGTAATTTAGACAGTGAATAGATAATCACACACGATAAATATTGTACCAATACAGCATTTTAAAAACCACGAGTTCACCAAACGATTTTAGTTTTCTCCAATTCCGAATAAATTCCAGGTTCCGGGTAGACTCATTAAAGACTTGTCGATATAAATAGTAATTCTTATCAAATATGTTCGATATAAATAGTAGTAGAAATTCTTATCAAATATGTTAACTCTGAAATCCGTCTTTCCTAGCAAAGTTTGGCGATTATAAAAACAATGACTTCGGACATTGACGCCTTCACAGCTAAATGCGACACAACTTCACGTCGATCCTTTAGTGTAATTACAAAGTAAGATCGATGAACTGCATTTATATAGAATTTATCAGTTATCGGTTTTTACCTGCTACCTTTGCGACAACCATGTAAGCTTTAGCCGTTTATTGTTTATAAAGGAACTTAGACATTTACATAAAACTAACCATATTCAACAAAACTATTGGATTTGTAAAGACAGTTTTTAATGAAACATAGTTGAAATTGTATAAGACATACAGAATAAACATAAAGCTGCGAGCAATGGAATTATGCTTCAGTAAAACACTACTGCAATTAGAGCGATAATCCTTATCTATTGTTATTTACTTTCGGATTTGTAAAGCATTATGATCGAAAGAACGCTGTATTGAGGGAGACCACACTGTTTTCTATATTGTCAGAATTTTGAACAAATTCAGAAACTCCTAACATGCATTTATATTAAATGAGTTATTTTATTTTAAGAATGTAACATAAATGAACTTGAGCCCCATTGCAAATAGGCCGTAGGGCTTTCGTGGGCAATGCATATTGAGTATCAAAGCTTGTTTTTAAGATTTAATGATTTTAGTATTTTAACAGCATGTCTGCTATTGTTTTGTATTATTGCATATGTAATACTTTATGTTGATATTTGATCAAATAGATCTAGTATAATAATAATATGCTATATCTATCTATTTGTAATTTATAACTAAACTTTACGTATTACTTAATTAGATTAACTTGATTTTCCAAATTGTTGTTGCTTGAATTGGGATATAACTAAAGACAGTGGTTTGACTACACTATAGGATTATGTAACAAATATAAGTTTATTTATTTATCGCATTCGTTTGATAACTATTAAAGTTTGTTCCAAGATGTCAGTGTTTACTGTCAATTTAAAATTTACAATCTCGATTCCAATATATTTCTTAGTATTATTGGCAATGTTAATATGTGCTCACAGAATAGAAGAAAAGAAATATTTATATTTACCAAGCTAGATAAATAAGTTTGTTATTTATGTCATAAGGATACAAACAACCTTAAGATAGAGGATGTAAGCAACTATAGGTCACCATACGCCTTTCGAACAATGAACACAACTCAACTATACAGTATAGTTAGATTAAGATATAAAGGCCCCTGACTGTCAAAATGAGAAACAATTAAAAAGAGTCTGAATTATGCAAAAGCAATAACTGAAAAACAAATATAGCATACTTCAACCAAGGACATCTATTCAATTACAGACTCATGGCTTGGGACAGGCACATTAAGAACATGGCGGGGTAAAACACTTCTGTGTCCTCTCAACCTTTCCATTACGTCGAAAGTGGTATAACAGAACAATAAAAGAACAAACAATAAAATTTCAGTGGTTGTTGTTGGTACTTGTCTATCATATTTGTTTTTCGTAAATTGTTTTGTTATAAATTAGGCTGTTAGTTTTCTCAATTGAATTGTTTCATATTTTTCATGTAGGGACCTTTTATAGCCGACTATACGGTATGGGATTTTCTCATTGTTGAAGGCCGTACCGTTGCCTATAATTGCTTACATCAACTCTATTTATTTGATCTTTGGTGGATAGATGTCTCATTGACAATCATACCACATCTCCTTAATTTTATATAGAAGTAGTTTGGATGAGGTCTTCTGTTACACATACTAGACAAAAAAGTTAAGGATCTTCCATTTACAATTACATTCTCAACTAATTTATTTTCTTCCTAAAATGTACACTTTAAAATGAGGCAAAGGAGCTTCTTACTTACTGATCTGTGATTTTATCATGCTGAACGCTTAAAAAAGCTTATGGAGTCAATGCTACACCAGATCCTTTGAAAATACAGATTTTGAAACTGTTTTCTTTTACTACACAATTTTGATCCAAAACAAAAAGATCGCACTCTACTGGAACTTGGCTACCGTGTAATCTTCTCTTCCTTAAATTTGATGACCAATCTTTTTTATGTCGATTTTGAAAAGACAATAACAAAGGTGGAAATGTTTGGTACGGGGAAATGGTTGGTCCTTAACAAAAAAGCCCTAAATATTTCAAATGTTCTCCAAAACTTGTTAAATCTAGGAATTCTGATAGTCTTCGAACAAAATTCAGTGAAATTGTTAAAATGTAAATTTTTGGTAAAAAATATGATTCCTTAAATCTCAAAATTTCAAAATAGTATTTTGGATCAAAATTGTGTACATGGGAGCTTAACAGTATGCAAAATATCCTAACAATTACCTGATCGGTTATTTCCATATATAAGCTGGTGAAAATATAAAAAACACTATTTAAACAAACGTGATCCTTAACCTTTTTTTATTATATTTAGGCCATGCCTATGTCAGGCCTTATTATGTTTTTGGGTTTTTGTTTTGCAGTTTTTATTTCCAGAATAACTACAATCCATTTAACAATCGCAACACAAATGGCAGATAGACTGAAAATACAGACAGATAATGATCATATTAATAAAATATTTACTTTTATTTTTGATCTAGGATGCATAAAATATTAAAGCTATTTATTTTATCTTTTGACACTATCTGGTGATCTTGTGTGATTCCATGCAATTCAAATAGTTTCAGAAATTACAGTATTAATGATATGAATCCATGCAAATAGAAAAACAAATTTCCAATTGATCTTTTTTTGTCTGGATGATCTGTCAATTAAAATTCACATCCAATACCAAGTATTTTGGTCAAGGTAGCTTCTCCCTTTTTTACCACTTTGTCTGTATCATTATTATTATTATATATTTGTGGTTAGAAATGAATTTATGTCGAATACAAAAAAACATTTCTTAATCATATTCAGATTATTTAATAGAATAGAAAATGGAAACGGGAATGTGTCAAAGAGACAACAACCCGACCAAAGCAGAAAACAGCCCAAGGCCACATATAGGTCTTCAGCGTAGCGAGAAATTCCCGCACCCGGAGGTAGGCGTCGGCTGGTCCTTAAATAAAATTGAGAATGGAAATGGGGAAAGTGTCAAAGAGACAACAACCCGACCACAGAACAGACAACAGCAGAAGGCCACCAACAGGTCTTCAATGCAGCGAGAAATTCCCGCACCGGGAGGCGTCCTTCAGCTGGCCCCTAAACAAATATATATACTAGTTCAGTGATAATGAAACAATACTGTATACTAATTCAGCGAAATGGACGCCACACTAAACCCAGAAATATACAAAAGAACCCAAAATTAAAAGGACACACAAGAGTTACAAAGTCTAGAAGTTTCTGACTTGGGACAGGCGCAAAAATACAGCGGGGTTAAACATGTTTTGTGAGAACTCAACCATTCCCTTTTACCTCTAGTCAATGTGGAATAAACAACACACAGCAAAACGCACATTGAAACTAATTTCAAAAGAAGTCCGAGTCCGATGTTAGAATAGGTAACAGAATATATTGTTTGTGTACTGTAACGTTAGGTTCCAACGCCTCCCGAAGAATGATGTCTTCAATTTTTTCTCTGACTGTTTGTGAGGTCTTTATACAATATCCGTTGAAGGTGTATTGATTGATATTTTTTTCCGGGAAAACATCATTTTGATTATAAGTTGAAATTGGGCTTTGAAATAGCTTTCAATAACTGAGAATATTCTTTGATTGGTATCACTGTGTCTTTGATCTTTTTGTTGGTTGTCTTTAAGCGTAGCACAGATCTGATATGCAAACCCTTTTCAACTGATTTTTAGTGTGTTCTTATATTTTTGTTTCTCAGTATAGGGGAGAATTAAGCTCTCATAAATATGTGTAATTTTATGTAATGTATATATGTCTACGTTATTTGGTCTCCGATAGATATTTGTCTCATGAAATCGATGACGAATATCATATTGTCTAACTAAGAAATCTAAGCGAACTGTTACAGTATATCACATGGTTATAAAGAACCAAGCTCTTTCCTAAATAATGCACATAAATGCAACACAAAAATTATTACTAGTATTTATGGTATGATTGCTAATGAGACCAAATGACCAAAATTGTGCTAGAGTAGAACTGTTTCTAACAGAAAGTGTTCTAAACTGGAGAACTGTTTTTGCAGACTGTTCTATAACAGTTCTCCTGACATTTAAGAGAGGTTAGAACTGATCTAAACTGTACTTATACAAGCTTACTCCACAAACAATAGATACGAAGTATGTAGGGTATGCACTCTTAAAGTGTGGAGGGATATGGTTGCGCGTTTTTCCGACCGTTAGGGTGTATGAAGTTAAACTACCATCCTTTTTCTTGGAACCAAGGAAGTCAAGTTTTGCACACCAAGAGGTCAGTCCAGTATGGCATTTAAAACCCATTCAAATCAGTCCACTGCTAGATCAAGTCTTCAACAGATAATGTCCAAAAATGATATCAATTGATCAGACAATACTTGGTCATGTATATTCTTCAATTTATCAATATAACAATATTTTAAGCAATGGGTGTGCTGTGAATGTGATTGAAAAACAAGTCTCATGGAATACCCGAACACGTCAATAGTCAGCATATCAAAAATACTGTAAAATACTGGAAGATCTTCAACTTATTTTGTACCGACCCAGTGGTAGGAAAACATATATGATTAACGTGCACACAACACATGGAATAACCTTCATCAGGTGGTTGAAGATAAATTTGGAGGCCAAAATGTTTATAGTAGAAAAATCATAAGTGCCTAAACAGAATATTAGATATCGTCTAAAGTTAACTTTGCGTGAGGGAGTTGCAACCTTAGTGTTATCATATTTGCATAATTGTATGAACTGAAAATTACAGAATAATTTATCATGAAATGATGCTAATACCGTTTGCCTGGCTACTGAGATCTAGACAATACCCTTGGGAACTGATAGTCCACAAGAAGCAGAAACAACCTAGTGGCAGTAAAAACCATATTATATAAAAACGAATACCTATATTTAAAATTGATTCTATAGATTTCAATACATTCAATATTCGCACAAAATAATGCTTCGATAGAACAACAAAAACAAGAAATTAAGTTTAAAATTT